GAGCATCAAAGAGGCTCCTTATGGAGTTTGTTAGCCATTTGGGAAAGAAACTGCTCTTGCCAAGACTGCTTGATGTTATGCTATATGAACTGGACATACAGAATCTACAGAAAAATGACTGCTGAAGTTGCCTAAAGAAGGTGAGACAGTCCTTCAGGGTTCCCGCTTCATGAAAGAGTCTGCCAGACATTCTGCAGGACACAGAAGAAAGTGACTGACAAACTGTCAATAAAGATGGAACTGTCTTTGAAATTTCCTGCTTCATGGAAAAGTCTGCCAGATACTATGGGCCTGTAGACTAAAAATGGATACTCCAATGTTACAGAAGAACTTTGGGTGACTGTTCAGGCAACAAGATGTCTCTGTCAATCTTACAGTTTTGGAAGTTGCTTACAATGCACTTCCTGTTTACTTAGGTAACATTATATCCTTCTGAAGTCTTGATGGAGTTGAAGAACAGATAGTCATAATTATAGTTTTCCTTAGTTATGATAAAAGATAAAATAGATATAAATATTGTAACTGTAATTCTTGTTTGATACCTGTTTTGTTATATGTAATTTTACTATGTTAAATTTAGACAGAAAAGGGGAGGTGATGTGGGATTCCCCTCTCAATGCTGTGAATATGTTTTATTGACATTCATTAATAAAGAAGTTCCTTTTGGCCAATGGCTTAACAGAGTAAAGCCAGGTGGAAAATCTAAATAGAGATGAAGAAAGAGAGCAGGCAGAGTCAGAGAGAAGCCATGGGCTGCCGCAGGAGACAGATGCGGGATGGTAGCTTACTGGTAGGCTACAAGCACATGGCAATATACAGATTAATAGAAATGGGTTAATTTAAGACATAAGAGTTAGCCAGGAATATGACTAAGCTGTTGGCCAAGCAGTGTCGTAATTAATTCAGTTTCTGTGTGATTACTTCGGGTTTGGGAGGCCAGGAAACAAAGGAGCAATCTCTGACTACATGGAGTCAATCCCAGGAAATAAGCATTTTACATGAGTGCAAATAGAAAGGCCCAAACCGTAAGAAAGAAACCTTCAGATCAATGGGCCTTCCAAAAGAATCTTAAGGAAAAGAGGGAGACAGGAGAGAAACAGCAAAACTAAAGAAATTTAATAGAAATAACATTTTTTGTTGCTGTTGTTATGGACAAGACTAAAACTATAGTATTTAAGTCTCCTGCTCACAAACAGGTGGTGGTGTCACACCTTTAATCCTAGCACTCGAGAGGAAGAGGCAGGTGGACCTCTTGAGTTTGAAGCCAGCCTGGTCTACACAGTGAGTTTTAGGACAGTCAGGATACACAAAGAAACCCTGTCTCGAAATGCCCCCCAAAAGATTCATATCCTTTCAGGAAGTGAGGATCGGGGAGGGGGAGAAGGCGCAGAGGTTAAGAGCACTTCTTGCCCTTCCAGAGAACCTGTGTTGGTCCCCAGCATGCACAGTGGGTGAATCACAACTGCCTTTAACTCAGCTCTAGGAGATTGGACACCTGCTTCTGGCCTCTCCAGGCACTGTACTCCCAGGTTCACATACCCACAAATAGACACCCAAATATACACAGAGTCTTAAAAATCATAAAATAAAAGCGGAAGTGACTGATAAAGTCAGTAAAATGAGTTAGTCTTAGAAAGGAAAGAGGACACTATGATAGGGACAGAACACATGGGACAGCTCTGAGAGCAGGTGGAAAAGTCCTGTTTCTCCTTTAAAATGCTTTATTACAGTTAGTGTGTGCATGTGTGTGTACGTGTGCACCTAGCACACACGTGGAGGTCAGAGAACTTGCAGGAGTTGGGCTCTCCTTCATTATGCATATAGCTGGTCAGGCCTAGCAATAAGATCCTTCACCTTCCAAGCCGTTTTCAGGCCTGTAGTTTTATTTTCTGGCCTAGGTGGAACTTATAGGTATCCATCTCACAACAATTCACTACAAGTTAATAAAGGAAGACGTGTTTGCCATTCTGTCCTCGACTAAGGCCCGCCACCACACCTTTAGTCTTAATTCTACCCCTCACCTTGGTCACAGTACATCAGTAGGTCTGGGTTGTTGATCACAATCAGGGTGTCTCCATCCTTCCTATGGGGCCGGTGATAGCGATAGTGCACAGGCAAAGAGGCCTGGAAACAGTCGATGCACTGTGCGTCTTGTCGTGCGTAAATGAGGACCGCAGACTCTTTGGACAAATAGTTGGGAGCTTCTATATTAAAACTTTCTGATAGCATCACTGCCTGTGGAAGAGAAAACAAATATTAATCAAGAAGAAAATACTAATGAAGAAAAATAAAGAAGACAAAGGTAAAACCTGAAGACTGCTGTACAGATAGGCAGAAACATCAAGTGTATTCCTGTTACAGGCCATTTCCACTCCATTTCCACCTCACTTGCATGTAGAAAACACAGGATATGATCCGCAAATAATAGAAGCAAACGGGGGAACAACTATGACAAAACCGTTTAACTTGTGTTAGGTTGAAATGCCTGGTATCATCCTGGCCATTTCCTGTTCTTCGGTGAGGTAAACGGTAGTGAGTAAGCCAGAGCACCGCAGGCAGGAAGCCAGGCAAAGGTCAGCAACTTTCTAGAGTGGGTATACAATGGAAATGTGAAAAACAATTTTATTTTTGTAGTGCTGGGGCTCAAAACCAGGACTTTATACACTCTAGGCAAGGGATCTACCACTGAACAACACTTACCAACCTCAAACAAATTGCGTGCACACACATACACACACAGACACACTGTCTCAATGTGTAGCTAAGGCTAGTTTTGACCTTACTCTGCAGCTCAGGCTGGCCACAAAATTGCAAATCTCCTGCCTTGCCCTACCCAAGGGCTAAAACTATACTATACTTACATCATTCCCAACCAGCAAAGCTCTGGGGGATGCTCCATAGACAGAAGGACTCGCCATGCAAGTCTGAGCATCTGACTTCAAACTCTGGAATACATGCTGGAAGGAGAGAACTGCCGCCCAGAGGTTTTCCACCAGGCTAAAGCGATGGCTCAGTGGTTAGGACTACATGCTTCTCTGTCTTCTAGACCAGCAATGGAAAGTACGTTGGATAGCTCAAAAACACCTGGGAACCCTAGTTCCAAACGATCTGACATCCTCTTCTTGACTCTGTGGACACCCATGTGCACAAACACTCACACAGACACATATGTAAATATAAATAATAAAAATATAAACAAATCTTTAAAAAAAAGTTGTCCTCAGATCTGTATGTGTGCACGGCATGCACACTGGCACACAACACTAAATAAAATAGGAGCTGGAGAGACAGACGGCTCAGTGAGTGGTGAAGAGCTCTTACGGTGGACATGAGTTTGGTTCACAGCACCCACGTCGGTCAGCTCATAACTGCCTGTAACTCCACCTACAGGAGATCTAATTCCTCTTCTGGTCCCCACAGGCATCCACACATACAAGCACATGTCCATACAACACACACATATGTATACACAACTAAAATTAAAATAAAAATTATGTGTTTTTTTAAAAGTACTAAGAGCACATGGTGGCACAAGCCTTTAATTCCAGCACCTGGAGGCAGAAACAGGTGAATTTGTATGAGTTCAAGGCTAGCCTGGTCTACATTGTGAGTCCCAGGCCTGCCAGGGATACATAGTGAGACCTTGTCTTAAAAAAACAAAAGCAGGGGCTGGAGAGATGGCTCAGTGGTTAAGAGCACTGGCTGCTCTTCCAAAGGTCCTGAGTTCAATTCCCAGCAACCACATGGTGGCTCACAACCATCTATAAGGAGATCTGGCGCCCTCCTCCTGGGTATACATGGAACGTTGTATACATAATAACTAAATAAATCTTTTAAAAAAATAAATAAAAGCAAACAAAAATTAAGTGTGTTAGAACTATTTCAAAATAACTATCCCAAGTCAGACATGGTGGCACACACCTATAATCCCAGCACTTAGAAAGCTGGAGTCCTTTTTGTCTGTGTGTGAGTATACACGCACATGTGCACACACACACACACACTCAAATAACATCCATGTGCAAATTTGCGTATCAACAGAACAGCCTCAGGTGCCAGTCCTTGCCTTCCAACTTATTTGGGACACTGCTATGCAAGCCTAGCTAACTCGTGAGTTTCTGAGTTATTACTAATTTTTTGTTTGTTTGCTTCTCGAGACAGGGCTTCTCTGTGTAGTAGCCTTGGCTGTCCTGGAACTCACTTTATAGACCAGGCTGGTCTCGAACTCACAGAGATCCACCTGCCTCTGTCTCCCAGTGCTGGGATTAACAGTGTGAGCCACCACTGCCAGACTCAGACCCATAATTATTTATCTGAGATTTTTCTTCTTTCTAATATAGTCATTTAGTGCTATGAATTTCTTCCTAAGTATCTTTAGTAGCAACCCACTAATTGTGAGGGTCTATTTTCACTTTTCTTTAATTCACTATTTTTTATTTCCCTTAGAAATATGTATTATGCTGGGCACACGCCTTTAATCCCAGCACTCAGGAGGCAGAGATGGGCGAATCTCTGTGAGTTCAAGGCCAGCCTGGTCTACAGAGCTAGTTCGAGAATATACAGAACAACCCTATCTTGAAAACAACAACAACAACAACAACAACAAAAGTAAGATGGAAAGATAGAGGAACACATCCTGTGTCAACCTGTGGCCTTCACATGTGTGTGTACAGGTGTATGCACAAATGCTAGCACACATACACACTAAAAAGAAAAACAAAAAGACAGTATGTCTTTCCTATTAACAAAGCTAAGCACTATTTATTAATCCTTAATCTTCTTAGATGCAGAGACATACACAAATACACATTAACTTTCTTAGTCACTAAACTATGAACTATACTGCTGAAAAGTATTCAGATACTTCAGGTTAGGTGGCTTAGTCCTGACAAATGTCATTCATTTGTTGAAGAACGCACCTATGCTATTACAAAAAAAAGGACTTTTAAAAACTTCAACAAAATTTAAACTACAATGTTGTCTTATCTAACATTTTACCTTAATCAAAATCATTGCACGCCTATATTAATTTCTCTTTAAAAATTCCCTAATAGCTGTACCTCTGTTATGTTTCTCTCTCGTAATGAAGCCAGCTCATATGGATCCACAAAAAGTCCTGCTGGGATGTGATGTTTAATCAAGAGCCGGCAAGTCTGTAAGTCCTCAATGCTTTCTCCAAATTTCACTTTTATTAAAAGGTCTCTGTAAGACAAGGACATTCAAAGTAAATCTCTTCACTCAGTTATTAAATAAGATAGATTAACATAACATCCATTATAGCATAGGCACTACATTTCAAACTCATTTCCCAAGAGTAGATTATCATGTCAAGTGGAATATTTACACCACAAGAGATCACCCATTGGATGGCTCATAATTCCTATCACGAGCCACAGCACAGCATTAATGTAAAAACAGATGACGATCAACAGAAAGAAAATCCAAAAGTCACACACATGTTAATATTCCAAGAAAAGAACTAATATTATTTGACAGGAAAGCGGGGTCTTTTCAACAGTGGTACTGACACTGGCTATCGACAAAGAAAAGGAGCGATGACGTCATAAATATCCACAAAAATTAGCTTAGGTCTGCAGATGGTTCCGTTAAGAGTGCTGCTCTTGCACACGACCTGAGTTCAGTTTCCAGCGCCCATGCCAGGTGGTTTACACCAGTCTGTAACTCCAGCTCCAAGGGATCA